TTGACCGCCACTGAATTCTGGGTGACATGTTCAAGGTGAGAAATGGACTTCATTTTTTTTTTTAAGCTTTATTTATTTATTTTGAGAGAGAGAGAGAGAGAGCTGAGTATATGGAGCAGGACAGAGAGAGGGAGACAGAGAGAATTCCAAGCAGGCTCCTCACCAATTGCATGAAGCCTGATGTGGGAGCTTGAACTAGGAACCGTGAGATGATCACGCACTGAGCCAAATCAAGAGTCGAGGTTCTTGACCAACTGGTGCCTTGGAGAAATTGACTCATTAGGTGTCACTTTGTTTTTGTTCATTTCTTTCTCTGCTTTTGCTTACTTGACCCACCCATAATAAGCGACAAATAGGAAGCCGAGTGTTGAACTGTCCCATTGGGCACACCTGGGCAGCCATAAACATACCCTGGAAGGTATCATCCCCAACACTGGATCCTGCATGTCCTGCAGGCTGGAAAGGCCACAGACAAAGGAACTTTATCCTATTTGGTCAATTCCCATCACACTTGTGCCTGGAAAAGTTTGGGTTTCAGGAAAGTATTATCACTAGAACGCACACTTGTGCTCTGATGTCCCACCATCTGCATAGGAGCCTGTATATGGTGGGTCTTGCACGTGTGTTGTTGTAGGTGGAGGGAAGCAAAAACAAGGGAAGAAAGGAAGGACAGAGGGAGGAGGGAGGGAGGGAAAGGAGGAAGAGTTTGAACATACGTCAACGGCCATGCCGACAGAAATCAAGAGAATTGTGGTTGGAATTGTGACATCATGGAATCATAACTCATCAGGCTCTGCACTGACAGCAAGGAGCCTGCTTGGGATTCTCTCTTTTTCTCTTTCTCTGTCCTCCCCCCAGACCAATAACCTGCAAAGAAATTGAATAATCAAAAAACTCCCAAGAAACAAAAATCTAGAATCAGATGGCTTCATAAGTGAATTCTACGAAACATTTAAAGAAGAGTTAATACCTATTCTTCTAAAACGATCCCAGAAAATAGAAAAAGAAGGAAAACTTCCAAATTCATTCTATGAGGCCAGCACTACTGTGACACCAAAACACCACTAAAAAAAGCAAACTACAGGCTATTAACCCTGATGAACATGGATACAAATAAAATAAATACTAGCAAACTGAATCCAAACCTCAATAAAATACTAGCAAACGAAATCCAACAATACATTAAAAGAATTATTCACCGTGAGCAAGTGGGATTTATGCTTGGGTTGCAAGGGTGATTCAATATTTACAAATCAATCATTGTGATAAATAACGCTAATAAAAGAAAGGATAAGAACCATATGATCCTCTCAATAGATGCAGAAAAAGCATTTGACAAAGTACAACATCCATTCATGATAAAAACCCTCAACAAAGTAGGGATAGAGGGAGCATACTTCAACATAATAAAGGTCATATATGAAAACCTCACAGCTAGCATCATCCTCAATAAGGAAAAGCTCTCAGTCAGGAAGAAGGTCAGGAACAACATAGGGATGTCCACTCTCACCACTGTTATTCAATGTAGTACTGGGAGTCCTAGCCATAGCAATCAGACAACACAAAGAAATAAAAGGCATCCAAAGTGGCATGGGAGAATTCAAACGTTCACCATTTGCAGATGATATGACACTCTACATAGAAAACCCTGAAGATTCCACACAAAAAAATGCTAGAACTGATACACGAATTCAGTAAAGTCACAGGATATAAAATCAACATACAGAAATCTTTTGCATTTCTATACACCAATAATAAAGCAGAAGAAAGAGAAACAGGGGTGCTTGTGTGGCTCAGTTGGTTAAGTGTCTGAATCTTGGTTTCAGCTCGGGTCTTGATCTCATGATTTTGTGAGTTCAAGTTCTACATCAGGCTCTGTGCTGATAGCATGGAGCCTGCTTGGGATTCTCAATCTCTCTCTCTCTCTCTCTCTCTCTCTCTCTCTCTCTCTCCTTCCCCCACTCACACTGTCTCTGTCTCTCTCAAAATAAATAAATAAACTTAAAAAAAAACTAAAGAGAAATGAAGGACTCAATCTCATTTATAATTGCACCTAGGTTCCTAGATACCTAGGAATAGACCTAGGCACCAAAGAGGTGCAAGACCTATACTCTGTACTCTGAAAACTATACAACACTGGCAAAAGAAATTGAAGAGAACACAAAGAAATGGAAAAACGTTCCATGTTCATGGATTGGAAGAACAAATATTGTGAAAATGTCTACACTACCCAATGCAATATACACATTTAATGCAATCCCTATCAAAATACCAACAACATTTTCACAGAGCCAGAACAAACAATCCTAAAATTTGTATGTAACCACAAAAAGACTCTGAATATCCAAAGCAACCCTGGAAAACTCTTGGAGTTTTCCCTGGAAAAGAAAAGCAAAGCTGGAGGCATCACAATTCTGGACTTCAACTTATATTACAAAGCTGTAGTGATCAAGACAATAGGGTAATAGCACAAAAATGGACACATAGATCAGTGGAACAGAGTAGAAAACCCAAAAATAAACCCACAACTATATGGTTAATTAATCTTTGACAAAGCAGGAAAGACTATCCAATGGAAAAAAGACAATCTCTTTAACAAATGCTGTTGGGAAAACTGGACACCAACATGTGGAAGAATGAAACTGGACCACTTTCTTACACGACACACAAAAATAAATTCAAAATGGTAAAAATGTAAATGTGAGACCTGAGGCCATTAAAATCCTAGGGGATAACACAAGCAGTAATCTCTTTCACATCAGCCATAGCAACTTCATACTATAGGTCTACTTGAGTCAAAGGAAATAAAAGCAAAAATAAACTGTTGGGACTTCATCAAAATAAAAAGCTTCCACACAGTGAAGGAAACAATCAACAAAACTAAAAGGCATTCTATGAAATGGGAAAAGATATTTGCAAATGACATATCTAATAAAGGGTTAGAATCCAAAACCTATAAAGAACTTATAAAATTCAACATCCAAAAAACAAATAATCCAATTTTATTTTATTTTTTTTTATTTTTTTTATTTTTAAAAAAAAATTTTTTTTCAACGTTTATTTATTTTTGGGACAGAGAGAGACAGAGCATGAACGGGGGAGGGTCAGAGAGAGAGGGAGACACAGAATCGGAAACAGGCTCCAGGCTCTGAGCCATCAGCCCAGAGCCCGACGCGGGGCTCGAACTCACGGACCGCGAGATCGTGACCTGGCTGAAGTCGGACGCTTAACCGACTGCGCCACCCAGGCGCCCCAAATAATCCAATTTTAAAACGGGCAGAAGACATGAATTGACATTTTTCCAAAGAAGACATCCATATGGCCAACAGACACATGAAAAAATGCTCAATATCACTCATCACCAGGGAAATATAAATCAAAACTATGAGATATCACTTCACACCTATCAGAATGGCTAAAATCAACAACAACAACAACACAACAGGGGTTGGCAAGGATGTGGAGAAAGAGGAGCCCTCCTGCACTATTGGTGGAAATGCAAACTGACACAGTTACTGTGGAAATCAGTGGAGGTTCCTCAAAAGAGGGGCGCCTGGGTGGCTCAGTCGGTTGAGTGTCTGACTTTGGCTCAGGTCATGATCTCACGGTCTGTGGGTTTGAGCCCCACGTTGGGCTGTGTGCTAACAGCTCAGAGCCTGGGGCCTGCTTCGGATTCTGTGTCGCCCTCTCTCGCTGCCCCTCTCCCGCTCATGCCCTGTCTCTCTCTCTCTCTGTCAAAAATAAACATTAAAAAAAAAGTTAAAAAAGAACTTCCAGCTATTGCACTACTAGGTATTTACCCAAAAGATACAAAATACTAATTCAAAGGGATATATACACCCCAATATTTATAGCAATATTAACTACAATAGCCAAACTATGGAAACACCCCCCTGGTGTCTGACTGATGAATGGATAAAGAAGATATGGTATACATACAGGATGGAATATCACTCAGCCATAAAAAATAATTAAATCTTGCCATTTGCAACAACATGGAGCTACAGAGTACTATGCTACGTGAAAATAAGTCAGTCAAAGACAAATACCATATGATTTCACTCATATGTGGTATTTAAGAAACAAAACAAACAATCATAGGGGGAAAAAGAGAGGGGAAACTAAGAAACAGACTCTTAACTACATAGAACAAACTGATGGTTACCAGATGGGAGGTGGGGACAGGGGAATGGGTGAAACAAGTGAGGGGATTAAGGAGTGTATTTGTGAGGAGCACAAGGTGTTGTATGGAAGTGTTGAATCACTATATTGTATACCTAAAACTAATATTACACTGTATGTTAACTAACTAGAATTTAAACTTTAAAAAAAGAGTCTAGGGACAAGAGAAAACCTTATTAAAAAACTAATTACAGGGGGCCTGGGGTGGCTCAGTTGGTTACGTGTCCAACTCTTGATTTTGGCTCAGGTCATGATGTCACAGTTCGTGAGTTTGAGCCCGGCATTTGGCTCCACGCTGCTTGGGATTCTCTCTCTCACCCTCTCTCTCTCTGCCCCTACCCTGCTCACGCTCTCTGTCAAAATTAATTAGTAAATAAACATCTTTTAAAATAATGTGTGATAAAGTACATACATATGTAAATACATATACATACATATATACACTTTGTGTGTGTTCATGTTCTGTTTGAGAGGGCTCAATGGAGAGACTCAAGGACCTATTCATTGATTTACTCCTCTGAATTTGGTCTAGTCCCAACACTGTTTTAACCAAATCAGTGGCTGTCAATCCTGGCTGCACTTTACAATCACCTGGGGAGTCTAATGCCTAAGCCCCACCCCAGACCATCTGAAACCAAGTATCTGGTGGTGGGAACAGGCATTTATATTTCTTTTTAAACATCTTAAGTGATTATAGTGTGTATTCTAGAATGTGCAGAACAAGTTCTTTTCTCTGGCAACTTTCAAAAGAAGACTTAAAGTCACTGTGAAAAATTGAATATTTGAAAATGTAAAATACACATGTTTATCAGCCTTACCTCTTCAATATCCTGGTGAAGCCCACATTCATAATTAATATCTGAATAAGGGAGTTAAGACAGCAGGTCTGTCCAATGTTGTGTAAACCAACTGGGCCTATATAAGAAAGAGGGAAAAAAATACTGAGGACAAGGGCAAGCTACAGGATTTAACAAAAATCAAATGTTTTTCTAAGATCTAAGCATATAAAATCCTGAAAAATACTCTCAGAGGTACAAATATTTCGCTAAGGAGCATTCAAACAAATTGGAGAGGAGAGATAAAGCATTGGACTCTGAAAAGAGAAACAGGAGTAAAACTCTTAATAGGAAAAGAGAGCTGTCACAAGAAAGAGTATTACTCAGTGTCAAATGAGTAGTACAAGCAATTGTTATAAGAGCAAAGGCAAAGAAAGAAACATTATAGGAAGCATAACTGGAAGCATTATGAGTTCCTCCCACTCAAGTTGTTCCTTACAGAGTTGAGTCAAAATGGGCACCTATGGAGCTCAGAGATAAGAGTAATTTCTTAGCTAGTCTATTTCAGATTCCACTGGAAAGTCCCCTGCTCAGTCCCTACCATGTGGTTGAAGGAGATCAGAAAAAAAATCTCTGGGGGAGATTCACTAATCTAGGCTGATCTCCAGAGGCTGGAAGCCAAAAGAACTTAAAAAGATAAGAAAAACAAAAGATAGCACTTTCCTAATGTACTAGCAACCAACCTGTCTTATCCCAACCCAACTTGGGCTCAGCAGACTACACAGGTGAGTAATTTAAGAGGGAGGGAATACCACTAATCTCAGCATTCCTGGGGAAAGGGTTTTTGTGTATATGAGATAGGGCATTAAGAAAAAAATCCAGGGACAGCAAGTAATTACAGATTTCAGCTCCTGAATTGGCAGGAGCACCTTGCCTCAAGACAGGCTAGCACATAGGTGTAACGGCAAAGGCAGGAACTAATGCTGACTGCTACTATATGCTAAGCATTAGTTTAAAGCAGTTTCCACAGATTATCTCAATTACCCCTCCCAACAACCTTATGCACTCAGTACTAGGATTATTCCTATTTTACAGATGCAGAAATAAAGGCACAAGAAATCAGGAGTCATTAAACACAAAGCTTTACTGCTCCAGGGTACAGTGGATGAGCAAAGCATTTCTATGCAGTGAAAAAGAGAAAAAATATGAGAGATCTAATGACCATGAGGGCAGTCCAAGGCACTGAGGCGCTCCCTTAGCTCTTCCTTCTTCCTCTTCATATTGTTTTCTTCCTTCTTCTCAATGAGTTCCGCTGAGAAATGCTGAGACTCAGCCAGGATGCACTGGCAAATTTCCTCAGGAACCCCAACACCTGACCCTTTACTGATCACTCCAAAATTCCCAGGCCATGAGCTGTCTGGCCTGTCTTCAGGACTGCACACTTCCAGGAAGAGCTCTTATGAGTCAGCTTTGGTGGGAGCTCTGTGAAAACACACCACAGGTAGGTAAGAGAAGAGGGAAAGCATATTCATGTGATCAGTTCTGATTCCAAATAGCCAAGTCTTAGAGGGAAAGAAACGTTTGGCTTATAAAGTTCTAGGGCTAGCAATGACAGCTAGGCTAGACACTCCTTGCCTTTGTCCCCCACATTTCCATTTTTTCTTCTTCAGACCAGACTGCCATATTCTCTTTCCCCCAGGTTCTCTATTCTGGAAAAGAGCACAACGTTCACCAAGGGGGTCCAGACCAGAAACCTAGGTGTCTCCTTGCTCCTCACCTCCAGCCCAAACAATCATTGAGGACTGTCAATTCTACCACCTGAAGGCTGCTCATAAGGACTCTCTTTGCTATACATACCTTTGACTTCCTGGGAAGCCTGTCCTGGCTCCTCCAACAGGCCTACATGCTGTCTAGGTGTCCATGCACTTTGTACTCAGAGCTATTCAAATAATTGGTTCATTATGTTCTATTGTGGGGAATAGCTATCTCTCCACTTGTACTCTACAGTGGTGCACCACTCAGACTCCTCCTACAGGAGAGACACCATTTCTCAGGCTGAGGGGAGCACTGGTTGACAGCTCCCCAATGAGTCCCTGTCCATTAATTTACTGCACGAAGAAATTTATCCCTATCCAATGACTGGACAATAGGGAGTATATATAAAAGCCTTACCACCTTGCCTCATGGTGAAATAGCTCTGAAGAGTCATCTAGCCCCAGAGCTCCCCTTAAGAGCAACTGAGTTCTCTGTTGCAACTATTTGGCAGCTCAACTCCTCCCTCACCTTTCCCAGGTGTTGTTCCCAATGATACTCCCCAGTAAACCTCCCACATGCACATCTCAGAGTTTCAGCATCTGACCTGAGACCCTAAAACTGTGAGCATCTGGAAGTCAGGGAGTGTGTACTTTTAACTGATTCCCTTTCACTTTGCACAGAACACAGTGGGCATTCAATAAATAACCACTGAACAAATGAATGAATTAACAAATGGGGACTTGCAGGGAACAAAAGAAATGTTTTCAAATAGCTAAAAGGCTATCATGTGGAAGAGACATAATAGGACTTAATTGGATTTCTTGTCTTTGGGGCATGGGGGTGGAAGAGATCAAAATACCTAATGTGTGAAAACTACAAAGAAATAGACTTCACTTCAAAATAAATAAGAACTTTCTCACAGCCAGCAAGCCAACTCCAGAAGCAGTAATTTGTTCCTCATATAGATACTTAAGCAGAGGCTGGGCTAGCCCTTGAAAGAAATAGAGTGTAGAAAGGAATTGAACAGTAGGTGGAGGGTGAGATCTCTTGTTTCCTTCCAAATATGAAGCCTTTGATTCCTTCTAAATATTCACATTAATTCACATTAATTCACATTAATTCGACTGTGTCCCACTGAATTATGTGTTCTGGAGAATTAACATGGCAGATGGAATAAGAAATCACTGCTGTTTCTGGAGAAGAGAAAAACCCTTATACATACACAAATACCCACTAAGGAATATATATATATATATATATATATGTAATTATGTG